ATTAATTACCGAATATTTTCTGTGTGGAAAAACGTCGGCGAGCGGAATGAAATCTCTAATTTCGCGTTTACAGCGGGGCGAATAAAGCAAAAGCGAGAAATAAAGAGAGAGAGAGAAAGAGAGAGAGAGAGAGAGAGAGAGAGAGAGAGCCGTGGCTGGCTCGCCGGCGCATTTTCGCCCTAAAATTTCGAACGGCGTGACACACGCTAATGAAATACGCATAGCGGCCCGGGAGCCGGCGCACAGCAACATGTACAAGCATTAACAGTTTTTTACGCGCATTTTTACACCGCCCGCCTTCAAAGTCGGCGCACGGTACAACGCTGAAATTACTGGCGACTCGAGCCCCGAGGGTAGGGGGAACGAACGTCGGGTTTTGAAATACGACAAACGCACGTGTGTTGTCCATGGGTAAATGTTGTTTATACACCGAGTTGCACGGGTGTTGGCCGCCGCGTCGGCACAACGTGGTTCTTTGATGAGGAGAGACGAGCCGTACAAGAGTCGTAAGCTTCACACGACCGCACAGCCACGGCCAGACCGAGGGTAACGGGGCGAGAGATTGGCGTATAAACCGTGGTGGCAGCATAGTCAAGAACACGCCGTCTGATACGTACACCAAACATACGTTCGCGCACGCTGGCACACGTATGCTCGCGAACGCGCGAGCGCGCCGCCGACCGTGTGTGCGCGAGCGCGCGCGCGCGCTCTCGTGTCACCGTGAAAAAATATGCCCGTGTACACGATGACACATTGACACCGGCAGAGCTCGCCGGTGAATTATGCACGTATAAGTCTCGATACTTATAAGGGTTGAATAAAATTGGAGCCGGGTGACGTATCATCCGGGCGCACCCGTACAAATCTCGCGCCCGCGCGCGCTCTCCTGTGTCAGGTGTATTCGAAGGTACGGACGCGGAAATATAGAACGAGAGAGGGATTGGAAACGCCGCGTGGGAAACGGAGAGGGACGGCGAGAGAACGCGCCGCGAGAGAGAACGAGACTACGGCTCTTCTACTCCATTGCGGATCCCGAGAATCGCGTCTGCCAAGGCGTAAAACACGGGTGCCTCGTGAGTTCCCGTGTGTAATTTGTATTTGTCGTTGGGACGCGCGTAAAAGCGGATTCCGCGTAGTAGACATGACGTCGCCGACGACGTGGAACGCATTTTCGTTCTGATGTACGACACCTGGCGTATGACAGTCGTGATTTATCAGCTACCGAACATTTCGCCGTTCCCCGCGAAAAATGGAGACGAGTTCCGTTTGAAATATATTTCTATAAAAACAGCGCGGCGCGCGTCTATCTTTCCCATACCGCTTTCCCTTCCTTTTTCATCGTACCCGCCCCGCCTCCCCTCCGCGCCGTTAACGAATTGTTTTTTCATTCTTTCGTTCTAAAATCATTTAACGCGCACCATCGCATTGTTTATTCGCCGGTATTTGCGACCATCGCGCGACGACCAAATTCGTCGACGGATTATTTTCACGCGCGCGCTACATTTCATTTTGATCATTGTTTAACGAATGTCGGCGACGGTGCACGGTTTAGGCGACCGCGGATTTTTCGAAGTTTGACTTGGCGTTCATTTTTGTAAATTTATAACGATGCTCGGGGTGGATTATATGTATGAAAATTAGATTTTATTTGCTTGAAGTACGGACTTTCACGTCATCGAACCGATTCGTAATTCGTGCAGATTGAAGACGCATACGAAATGTAATTATATAATCATAATAATAGTAGTTGTAATCATTAATCATACAATCATGTATAATCATAATAATAATTATATAATCGTAATTATAATACATATATAATTCTCGATAAAACTCTCTTAAATAACGCATTCGAATTACACGGGTAATATATATATTACACGCTATAATCACATATAATCATACAATCAAATATAATCATAATAATAGTTATATAATCGTAATCATAATACATATATAATTCCTGTCTCTTATACACATCTAGATGTGTATAAGAGACAGATCATATATAATCATAATAATAGTTATATAATCGTAATCATAATACATATATAATTCTCGATAAAACTCTCTTAAATAACGCATTCGAATTACACGGATAATATATTATATACATATTACACGCTATAATCATATAATCATACAATCATATATAATCATAATAATAGTTATATAATCGTAATCATAATACATATATAATTCTCAATAAAACTCTCTCAAATAACGCATCCGAATTACACGAATAATCAAAATACAGTAATGTCTCCCTAATTGTCGCTCAGATTGTCCACAAAAATGGACAATTTGGGAAGAGGAGATACGATTGTTCGAGCCTCGCAGCTCGATTTTATAGTTATTGGGAATCGGCAATTATAAAAAACGAGCTGCAAGGCTCGAATAATCGCGCCTCCTCTTCCCAAATTGTTTATTTTAGTGCACAATTTGGGCGACAATTAGGCAGACATTACCGTATAATAAATAAACGTACGTTGACACAATCTCTGTCCGTATCTCTTAGTAATGCGAAAACACGGCGCAGAACTTTAGATAGGCGACACTGGATATGAAATCGCACGAAAGATCAAATGTCAGCAGAAATTTCACATCATAAGTATAGAATGTCTAGACTCTGGACACGTACACGAGTTACCTATGCAGGAGAAACAAGAAGGCCGATACCGTTGACGAATATCATGAATAAACCGCGCGGGAGAGAATTAGAAAAACCGATAATATAACTCTGTAAGGTTGAAGGAAGTCGTAGATAGGCAGGAATGTTTCCTCGTGCTATACAATTTTACTGTACCGTGTAAATGTCACCGAACATGCTAAACCTTCGAACCTACTAAACGTGCCAATGAATAATTTAACTATTTCTTTCAGCGAAAAAAGGCGATGGATTTTAAAAAATGTATGCTATAACGGGTATCGACAAAAATGCAAAATTATGTGATAAACACATTGATACTACAAAGAGGTGATGGAAAAGGCCGTTGCGTCGAACTCTCGACGACGGGAAGGAAACGAACCTTGAAAAACGCGGGCGGCATTTACTTCGCGACTTTTAAGTTATTAAGTTATTAATTTTTAAGTTCCGAAGTTTTAACCGTTTCATCGTTTGCGTTGATCTGTGCGCGGCGAAATCGCGATTTTCCTGCTTAGAAAATGGTTCGACGGTTCATCGTTTGTCGATGCAAAAAGTCGCTCGGGTTGTTACAATTTTGGCGAACATAATCGAAGCCCATTTTTCGAAGGAATCGACCACCGTGCGTCGCGGCCACGTCACGGATGCGCGAACCAATTTAACGGTTCGCGATCGTATTGGAGCTGATAATCTAGTATAGCAGACCGTCGAACAGAAACGTATCATCAGGCCACCTATTTTAATAACACGACCCGACCGGGGCGTCCGCTCGCCGGCATTGTCATTACGCGGTGGCCGTTTGGGTCCTTCCTGGACCGAAATAATTAGCGGTCCCAAGACTTGTCCCAGAAGAGCGGATTGGGACGTAACGGTAATGGCAGGGTGCCCTCCCCGATCATTCCGGCAAGGACGTGGACGCTGAACGAATCCGACCAGGAAATGAGGGAATTAGTCATAGACGAGCGACGCGACGTCGTCCACGATACCCCGAAGGCATCGACATGCTAACCACCGTAACGATTCACGGCGCCAGATAAATAGAGGGCACCAAGGCCCGACTTTTCGGAAATCAAATTACGAAATTGACGGTGCCGGAATCCCTGCACCCTATTTCTGCAGTCTAGAACCCCTTATTGCGGCCTTAACGCGGCCTGATTTATTGGAAGCATTGCCGATATCGCGTTCCAAATCACCGCCAACGAGACACGGTCCGAAGCTAAATCCGATTATGAACGGTTTTTTATGCGTTCCATTCTAAATCTCCGAGTTACACGCTAACGAGTGGCTAACCATATCGGTGACGCTGATTAACTTGCATTAACAAAAAGTTATCGGTGCCACATCGATGCGTTTAAGATATTGATACGGTAAAATAATAAAGTAATGCTTTTATTTCGTTATAGAATGTTAACATTGCGTGGTAAGTTAACCGTTTGCGTACCGCGAGCCACTTTTGCGCTCTTCAGATTTCGTGTCGAGAAAAGCCAGGGCATTCGGTCGAAACGGACGACTTACGGTCTACCCGAAATTTGTTGAAACGTGCTCGGTCTTTCGGACGCATGTATACGTCGCGCGTCGCATCGCTGTCAGTAATCCAATTTGCATTTTGTTGTTACCTATTCTAAATTGATAGTATATGTATTTTCATTCGTAACGTTTTATTTTATGTTTTACGGCTTTTTCCGACACGTAATCGAAGGAGCGCTATCGCGCTCTTCGACTTTTTTCGACACATAATCGAAGGAGCGCTATCGCGCTCTTCGGCGCTTTTCGATCCTGTTTTTTCAGAACCATCTGGTACGCAAACGGTTAAATCGTTCGATTAGCTGTTGCATATATTACACACTACGTGTAACCCTATAAATGTTATTCCACAAGTGGTCGCTAATTGCTGTCGAGCAGATGCGAAATGAAATAAATTACATTAATAAATAAAACAGAGATTAGAGTTACAATCATAGCGCTCAGTTGTCAGCCTTGCTTAGGATTCTTTGTTCACCTATTTCCCGAGAGAACCTATAGAGAATAGAATTTGAAAAAAGCAGTCGAAGTTCGCGCGTCGGGGCTCGGAATTAATCTTCAACCGCGTTTATTAAACATTACAATTAGGTGCACTATTTGTATGCAAGAGAGAAAGCATAGTCTTGGTACAGTCTTCCAGAAACAAATTGCACTCCCGGCACGTGCGAGCACGTAAAAGCAAATAAATCGATTCTCTTATACATATCGATTATTGCGTAATCATTACTATTAACGCCGTGTCATATTCTATTCACTCCGCCGCACGATAACTATCTACGCGATATGACTAAGGCTAAGGTACTTCTGCTCGTAAGTGGCCTAGTTTAACCGTTGCTTCAATTACGATTGTTTAATTCTACACTCGACGAAATTGCCGAGGAAATACTAAGTGGTCGAAATAATTACGTACATGATCTGTGCTCACATAAATTACAGGAATGCATTTATAGATATCTGTATTCCCTAATTCGTGTTTCTTAAATAATTATTACCGTCACGTTTTCAACGCCGATACCAGCGTAGGAAAAATACAAAATCAAGTATACCTGTCGTCGACGAAAAAGAGAAGTATTTTTAATTGTTTCGCCGAATGCTCATTTTTTCCCTAAATTAATTTACTTTCGAGTTAATTGCACAGATTTAATGAGCGAGAATTTAATGCAACGCGCCTGTTGGCGGATAACGCGTAGAATAAATTGAAGCTTTTATAGCTCCAAAATACGTTGCAAGAATCTTCCAATTTTTAACCCTTTGCACCCGAGTGGTGACTCCGAGGCACCACTAAAATTGTTAATTCACGTCCCAAAATCATTTTTATATTATCAAAGTTTAGATTTCAAAAGTTGTTAAAAGTTTAACTCAGTAACTAAAAGTAACTAAAAGTACGCGAGACTCAATTTCGTATGCACAAAATACACTTTGTCATGTAAAACGGAGATACTATAAATCGGAAGAATTATTTTAGATTTACGGTTCAAATAGCTTCGAGCGCAAAGGGTTAATAGACTAGAATGGAAAATGCTTACAGACTGTCGTTACTACGAAACACAATTGCTTCTCCCCTGAAACATGCTATCTTTTAGATCGATTTTGCCGCGAAAAAAAGCTACGAGTACCAACATTTGTGTGTGTGTGTGTGTGTGTGTGTGTGTATGTGTGTGTGTGTGTGTGTGTGTGTGTGTGTCGCGACGTAATGATAGATCGTGTAATGATCGAGGCAGCATGGAAAAAAAAAGAGAGAGAGAGAGAGGGGCAGAAGAGAGTTAAAGATGTCGACGCCCAGCAGAGAATTTACATGCCGCCGCCGCGGAACGCCATTGTAATGTTATGCTCCCCGTATATATTTTTTTTCTCCGTCCCACGTTTTTATCCGGCGTTTTCGAGAAAATCTGTACGCAGATCTGGCTGCGAACATAAAAATGCAGGTCGTGCACGCCTGCGCGTTGGCTGGGTGACCCGACATGGGTGTTTTATGGCCGACAGCTTTGTGTGTTCCGAGTAGGCATTATTTTTCCTTCTAAACTCCGTTATACCTGGAACAATGGAGAGATTAAAACATAAAATATGATCCCCGGGGTATAGTTTGGGAGTGGGGATCGGAGGATGGCGGTGCGCGCTGCCTGTAATAAATTTGGTATACCTGAGGCTCTCCCTTTCGAATGACCCTTTTTTTTCGACAGGTGCGACACAGTGATAGCCCGAGGTTAATTCATTGACTTAACAGCTTCGGATATTTTCATTTTCTCTATCTAGCAAATTTATCTTAACAAACACCGCGCTGCGAAGCTTTTTCGAGCTATTAATTAACGTCTTTCGTTTTGTTAACATGTTCAACGATAGCACCGACTAGCCCTAAACGCGGCCAATGTACGTTGTTTTATACCTATGTAATTGGATCTTATCAGAACCTTATAATTTTATTAGAACAGCAACGATCAGAAAATTTCAACTGTTTGGAGAATAAATGAGAAGTAAGAAGCTGTAAAGACGTTATAATAATTTAAGGATATCGTTGCATTGCAATTATTATAAAAAACAGAGACAGTCCCGTCTGGTTTATGTTTATTTCTTAGTTTTATTTTACGCAAAAGTCCACGGTCCGTTCGCAGTTTATTCGTGCAAAACTGACCAGAAACAACGTAACCGTCGCGCGTACAAAGCCGATTATTATTACATTCTAATCGCGATTATAAAAAAAAAAAATCACACGATTCGCACGAAGGATCGAACGCTGTTAAGACAGGCGTTGATTTATAATTGCGGAGTTCGCGGCTGACAACTTTTCATTCATATTTATAAGCGCATACATAAATGTTTGCGCTTTCGATAATGAAGAATTATGGAGATTTTTGAATACTAAATTGTCGTTAAGCGTCCCGATAAATCACGGCAATCATCGTTATTCTTTATTTGCCCGTGCAACGAACGGCGTTGTTACATTAATTGTTTGACGCAAACGAAATAATTACTGTTTCCTCCGGCGGATCGAGCGTCCTCCCGTGTTGTTTTCACGGAACGGAATGCCGATCTTGGGTTTTTCTTTTTCTCCGTCGAAGCGATGCTCGCCAGAGTTGTCGTATATATTTCATCGTAACGAACGTTTTCCAGCCGCGCACTACGAATATTAAGTAATGTTTTCAGCGGCACGTTTAATCGATAAGCCGCCATTATTGATTGACACTGATAATGCTATTTGATCAGTCGTACGCGTACAAACTAGACCGAGAGAAGCGTCGATTGACATACTGTCACCTCGCCTTGTTCTCTCAATTAAGATGTTATTCGAGTCGATCGGGCAACGTACTTATTACCTAATGCTATTTCTGCGCGCGTACTCGCATTTTATCGCCGGCGTAATTTATAATCGCGAGCGTACGATTCGATTTTTGGAACATCGGCGGCGAACATCGCCGCGAGAAATCGTGCGAAGGAATCGTTTTATGTTTTACGCTTCCTTCCGAACGAATCGACGGAGGTGCTGCTCTCGACGCGAACGACGATGATATAACATCGAAGAAAGATGCACCGCATCAATTTTAATTAGCGGCGACCGGAACATTATCGAAATGACTAATAGTCGCATACGATTTGAATTCTAACGCGAACACCGACGATGCAAATTCACGCTTTGATTGAGCAATTTATGCGACCGGAAATGAAACGCGCCTCTTAATTGCCCCATCAAGCATTTTATTACATTGAAAGTAATGCAAAAGCGTCTATTAAACATTACGATGCTTCTTATCCGAACGTTTCGCGTTCGCGCGTGCAATCGCGTATACGTGTCCATAGTCGGATGCGGACGTGTAACATCGACGCGATTCGTGTTTCAATATTCCCAGACGCTGGGCTTTCGTAATTAATATTAACGACGGGGCAATAAGAAATCAGGCGAAATCGCGAAACGGTCGCGAAACGTTATTACCGTCGGAGACGTGCGCTTGTAATCTGGTGCCTCGCTTTGGAGAAAAAACATTTTACAACGCGTCCATGTTCGATAAATTGAAGCGGTCCCGAACGCGCGCGAGTGTTTAATCGATGCGCAAGAAGATCTCGTAAAATACAATGAGTGTTGAAATGAAAAGCTCTCATAATGACGGCGAACAGGTGTACGAGGTAACTAATTAATTTCGGACTCGTACATAAAATGGTCGTTAAATACGTTTACGTCCCGTTTGAGGTCTTAGATATGTGATAAATACGCGATTGCACGGAACCGTCGACGTGAAAATTTGGAAAACACGTTGCGCCCGTGTCAGCCAATAGATTTTGCAAATTGCAACGATCTTGTTATTGTTTATCGTGTCGCTGTTCACCGATTTATAGTTACTGATTTACAGTTACTAAAAATGTTAAAATGCCGCCTGCAAATGCTACCGAAATGTTGGAAGTACGAGTAAAATCAATTATAAAGTTACTATAAATTGTTAAATTACTGAATAATTACTGATTACTAATTTATAGTAACTTTACAACTGATTTTTAGTCATTTACAGTTACTAAAAATGTTAAAACGTTACCATAATGTAAAAAGGAAGAGTGAAATCGATTATAAAGTTATTATAAATTACTGAATTACTGTGAATTACCGATTACTAATTCATAGTAACTTTATAACTGATTTTTAGTACTTTACAGTTACTAAAAATGTTAAAACGTTACCATAATGTAAAAAGGACGAGTGAAATCAATTATAAAGCTACTATAAATTACTAAATTACTGTGAATTACTGATTACTAATTTATAATAACTTTATAACTGATTTTTAATAATTTATAGTTACTAAAAATGTTAAAACGTTACGAAAATGTAAAAAGGACGAGTGAAATCAATTATGAAGCTACTATAAATTAATAAATTACTGTAAATTATTGATTTCTAATTTATAGCAACTTTATAACTGATTTCACTCGTCCTTTTTACATTTTTAGATAACATTTTAACACTTTTAGCAGCTATAAATTACTAACATAAATATGTTTACGCTATTAATTCAAATATTTAATAATAATAATAATAATAATAATAATACTAATATCATACGCCATTAATTAAGAAGCTATTCACTCAAGTCTCTCGTGCGCGCAATAACACGGCGAATAAGAGTTCAATTTATTTGGCAGCGGAACCGAAGCTGGCCGTTCCGTAAATTCGATCCGGAAGAGTCACGCGAGTCCGGTAAGGGTTGAACGGGGTGATGAGATAACAGGAAAAGTGGCATCGCGCGATCACAGGCAAAGGAGAGCGCGAAAGAGAAAGCGCCGTGGTAGAGGGAGATCGCGGCAGAATCGAAACAACCAAAAGTGGTCGTTCAAGAGGAGGAAAGCATCCTATTACGCGATTCGTTTTTCCATAAAAGCGAATGTCTTTTGGCCAGCGGTGAAGATAGTTGGCAATGGCGGCTGGTCCGGGTCGCGACCGCATCGCATCGCATCGCATCGCATCGCATCGCCGCGCTGCACACCGGCGGCGTTGCACCGCGCCGGACCGAGGACGCGCTCTTGTATTTGTCGAATACGAAGTCACGTACAGAATACATTATCGGGAGGAATACGGTCTATGCATGTGAAGGCTGAAAAGCAGGCAAGCAGGCAGGCAGGCAGGCGGACAGACGGACAAACGGACGAACGAACGGACGGGTGGGTGACTATATTGATTGTGTAGCCGGCTGACAGCGACAGTGACATATGTCACCGAGGCTTCTCGTTATCGCTGATTTAAACATGAGGCAACGAGGCCCTTGCCGAGTTGTCTGCGCTGCACCAGCTTCGTATTTCTGTCTACGTCTCCATCCTTTCCTTCTACCACCCCCTCCGTTATTATTATTACCACACATAGCCTTGTCTTTTTTCTCTTTCTTTCTTTCTTTCTTTTTTTTTCACTACTTATACCCTTTCCCCGATCAATGTATATCGACTGTCACGCTGCCGGAAGTCCGACGACACGACCTTTTTGATCGTCCCACCATGCGAAACGGTATCAGGAAAAAAAAAATTACAAGCCGATCCCACACAATGGCCGCGTTGCTGCCCGAACGAGCCGCACTATTATTATCGCTTTCACACTGTGTAATAATGTAGCAACTGTTTTTCGAGTGTCCGGCGATCGGCGAGGGTGTACCGTGAATACTTGCCGCAAGGGACCCGACTCGAATAGCACAAAGAGACTCGTAAGACGACCACCCGTGCACTAATTACATATTTAAACCGAGAACAGGTGTTATTTTTGCATCTTTCAGTGGCTGTAGCTCAACTATGCGTCAACCGATTTCAACGAAGAAATAATAATAGCTTTCAAACATATATAATAATAAATTATATATATTAAATATTATTATATAATAATATAAATATATATTATATTATTAAATTAATATTTATATTATATTATTATATTATACATATAATAATATAATAAACGGCGTAACCCAGTTATATTGTATTTTAACAAGTCTTCGAATACCTTCTGCCAGGGGTGGGTATTCCATAGTTTAAAAATATAAATATAGAAATTGTATCCGAATTTTTGTTGCCTACGGAAGCGTCGAATATATCTCGGTTACTAAAGCTTCTTGTTTGTAAAATAACATTGACTTCTCAACGTGGCCAGCACGATGCGGAATTTAATACCCGCAAGTCCGAGGCCCGCCATCAAACTTCTCATGATAAATCAATTTTTCAGCGAGCATAAATTTAACAGTGGCCGAGTTGCACATTACGCGCGGTAACAGTTGCATACGAAATCAACGACATGCACATAATCACGTAGCGCCCCTGTCGTTCGGTGCCTTCAAGTTCGGTATAGTATAAGAAACAAGGGGCGAAACGCGGGGAAAGAAAGAAGACCGCCTATGATTTATTACTGGCCGCAAATTCTGTTTCTCCTCTGTGCACGCCAACTGCGTTTATGTTCATCTATCTTTTTCCCTTTCACGGCTTACCGAGCAACTTTTCCCCGGCTCTCTCTACCCCTCCCCCCCCTTGCCTTCATTCACCCCCTTTGTTCCGCGTCATCTCTCAAAGTGACTGACTG